ATATATATATATATATATATATATATATATATATATATATATATAAAGGCCGTGGGTGATAATAATTTTTAAAGGAACTTTTCTAGCTTCCTTAACCTTCTGTCAATACTCAAAAACAACCTCAAACTTTATAATCGATAATCCGATTATCACACTAAAAAGGTATATGTGTCATTTATTATACACAGATCATATATGAAATTCATTTATTTTTTTAAAAATTAATTAATAAATATATTTAAGATATTTATTCATGATTTTTTATAATTTTTGTGATTTAAGCACGCTTAATTTTTTATTTATTATTTTTTACAACATTCAAAATAAGTGTAATTTAGTTTTTCGTTTACAATATTTTTTTTTTTGAAATAGTTTCTTTAAGATTTTTTTATAGTTTTCGTCAAAAATCACATGTAATATCTACTATTAATCGACGTTTTTTGCCTTCAAAATAATCGATAATTTTCGTCAATTTATCATATACAACATTTATCATAGTAGAAAAGAAATGTAAGTTATCTACACCATTACATTTGATATGTGTAAATTATGAATTATATTTTTTAAATACATTTTAAATATGTTAAACTACATATCACATGTGATTCTTTTTTTATTATTTTTATTTTTCAATGTTTAATTTAAATGATTGGTTTTTAAATTAAAATCACATATTATTATAAAAACATTTGGAAAAAAATTAATTAGTTGTGATCACACGTTATTTTGATGAAAATTGTAATTTTTTGAAATATTGTCTTAAAATAAAAATAAAAATGAATTCTATAGTTAAGTTCAAATACAATTATTTTAAATACATTAAATATAAAATATTTTTTTAAATAAAAAATTAAATCATATTAAAATCATAAATATAGTTAAGATATAATCTTAAATACCTTAAATAACTTTTATACCATTATTTATTTATATTTAGAACTAATTATTTAAAATACTATTTCATGAAATGATAGATTCAAAATTATTATCTTATTCTTTTAAATATGTATTATTCTCGTATGAACCTTATTATATATTTTATATATATATATATACATACATACATATATATATATATAGAGAGAGAGAGAGAGAGAGGTTGGTTATTATACAATCCTTGACATTTGTGCAACCAATACAACCTAATCTCAACCGTCCATTTCATTTGATTAATATGTTATTTAATAGAAGTTTTTATTGTTTCATAATATAAAGTATCGATCATAATTAATGAACCATATTTATTTTCCATAAATATTCAAATCATAATAAATAAACTCTTATCATTTTCATAAATATCTCAATATATTGGGTTGCATATATATGGGCATGTTCAAATGAAAACCGTGTAAACGAATTTCGATCAATAGGAAAATTCCATTTTTTTCTAATTAAATTTAATCAATAAGGGTATTTYKGTCATTTACAATATTTTCTATTAAATATGGAAGTTATTAATAAATCTTAATTAAGGAAACGTAATAAAGGAAATTGTATAAATKGTAACATTTAAATATTTAATTATATTATAATATWAAAAATTTGAATTTGATATATTGTTATGAGATTGAATCTGCAAACRGGTCTTGAAGATTGAATTGCATTATGGAATGAAATCGTAAATTATTGTTCAAATTAAAAAAATAATGTTAATGAAACAGGTTTCATGAAAGTGAAACTGGTTCATGTTATAATTGATTCATGAGTAATCTGAAATCGTTTCATAGTGAACTACGTTTCAGTGATGATGTAGTTGATCCGTTTAGTAGAAAAAATGGAACATAAAACGGGTGCATAATTTATTTGGTTCGTCATGAAATAATTGCATGATGAAACGGGTACATGATGAAT